CCCCTGCAATGGTGTTAGGGGACGTAACAAAAACAACCAACAATGTTGTTAGTGGCTGCAATAGTAAACCCCTATCAGTGTCAGTGGCTGCAAGAATAAAACCCAAATTAGTGTCAGTTACTTTTAAACACCCCCCCACACACACATATTGATGGGCAGTAGCTGGAGCCCTCCACCTACACTGGCAGTCATTTTTACAACTCCACACTGGTGGTCAGTGACAGTGCTATGTAACATCTCCACATCACCCCCCTCCCCTATTGGTGGCCAGAGTCCGTGTATTCAGTACAACAAAATTTAATTCCCCAGCATTGGTAATCATTTACCTGATTATACAGTACATTTCTTCTCCCCAAGGTTGAGACTTTGCTTGTAATGTAGGGGCAAATCACTCTGCCTTGCAACAGAGTCTTTCTTTCTGTGATGGGTGCTGGAATGCAGAGAGTGTTGACTCCTGACACCAAAAATCTACTTATCTCTCACTGACACCAATATAAGAGGTGCCTCATTTACTGACTATCAGCCTAAGAACACACAACACCCCTGTCCACAAATATAAGAAGCAACACCCCCCTAAACAAATAGGCACTACATCACTCATCATCAATATAAAGAGGCACTTCACCACTGACCACCAACGGGAGAAGGCAATACACTACTTACCACCAATATAAGGGGCACTTCACCATTAACTACTGTGACAGTATGAGGGGCGAGGTGATCGATGGACACTATGTGTCACCTCGTATTCGGTCATACTTGAGAGTTTAAGGTGAAATCCACTCCGGGTTTTCTGGGCCACTATGGCAGAGGTGGTTTCAGACCTGACTTTGTGGTCCACTGATGACCACCAGCAGGTGCTATAAATAAGGCAGGGCTGAAGCAAAGAGTCGCTCGTGGCCTGGGACTCAGAGAGCCATTTCTGAGAGAGCTGTGCATGAAAGTGTTTTACACAAACAAGGAAAAAGGTTTGCTTGTTTTGTTTTCTTGGTGACACGGAGAAGCCCTTCACCAGTGAGGTAGGAAACGTTCTGTGTTTAGTTAGTGCCTGGATGGCAAGGGTTTATTTTACTGTTTTGTTTGTTTTGATATTTTGCAAACCTTTGAATAAAAGATTTTAAAGAAAGCCTGCTGTGCGGTCTACCTTTTTCCCAGGGAAGGTGATCCCCCACCTGAGCTAACCCCACATATGGTGGAAATTGGCAGACAACTTCCTGAGCAAGTGGGAAGATGGAGGATGTGATAAAAGCCTTGCTGCAGGCCACTGCAACCCAGCAGGAAACCAATCGCCAGTTGCAGAGGCAAATCGCCAGTTTGCGGAGGCTCAACGAACACAACAAGAGGCGAATCGCCAGTTGGCAGAGGCCCAACGAGCACAACAAGAAATGAATTGCCGGTTTGCGGAGGCCCAACAAGCATAACAGCAAGTGAATTGCCGGTTTGCGGAATCCCAACAAACAGACAGAGAGCTCCTTAAGGAGGTGGCCCAACACCTATTGGAATTAAAGAAGGAGTCCGCATATCCGCTGCCAGTGGAACAGAAAATGGCGCGGGCCAGCTATTTTTTGCAAACATTGACGCCTGCAGATGATGTGGAAGCCTACCTCGCAACTTTTGAAAGAGTTGCTGTTCGGGAAGGATGGCAAAAAAGAGCAATGGGCAGGACTGCTTGCACCATTTTTGACAGGTGAACCCCAAAAAGCCTATTATTACCTGGAACCAGATGCTGCCCAGGATTATGAGAAACTGAAAGCTGAGGTCCTTGCACGCCTGGGCGTCACCAGATTTTTAAGAAAGCCTGCTGTGCGGTCTACCTTTTTCCCAGGGAAGGTGATCCCCCGCCTGAGCTAACCCCACACTACCGATGTAAAAGGGCACTTCACCACTGACCACCAATATAAAGAGGCATTACATTCAACATCAATGTAAAGGGTACCTACAATGACCAACAATGTATGGGGGCAGTACAGTGATTAAGAGGGCACCTCTCCACTGACCACACGGTGTAAGGAGGTGAATGTCAACTGACCACCAATCTAAAAGGACACTTGACCACCAATGTTCAGGGTGCATATTCACTGACTATAAGGTGAAGGGGGCACTAAAATGTCCAACAACCTAAGGTTTTTCATTTTATAGACTTGGGTTCAGGAAAATTGTACAATTTCCAAGGGTAAAAAAATTATGCATGTGATACACTGTACATCAATACCCCTACCAATGAAACTTAGCTTTTATTTCTATTAATTTTCTTATACTATAATTCAGTTAAGTAAAATGTCTGCAGATTTTTCTCTTTTCTTATACTCACAATAATGTCTGATTTTTGTCACTGGAACAGAAGGCAGTATAAATGGATACTATAAAGGCTCAAATTCCTTCTGAGCATTACTGTTTCTTACTATTTCCTTTACATATCCCTTGCCCCTTCATTTACTAAGGTAAAAGGTAGGGGAGTAAAATGGAAGGAAGACTGTCCTCAGTTCACTGTTCCTCTTCTCAAAATTCAGACATACAATAAATAGAGCAACAAAAGTTAATAAAATTTGTTCCCAACCTCCAACATATATATATTCCCCCAGAAGGATTTCAGTTATCCATTGTGCGTTGTGTGGACACTTGGAGAAGCACCCCCTGAAGACATTCAACCATACTGCTGCCTTATGACGGGTGTATAAGCTGTATTGGGGATCTGAAGTATTATTGACATATGTCTTTAATCATTGTATTTTGTTTTTTATACTGTCATATTTGATGATATTCTGACACATGGATGTATTTCAGGCTTTATTTCAGAGAATCAACAAAAATCCACCTTAGGAAGACTTACATGTTGAAACGCATTGGAGTTTCTGTTTGAAAATTGAATTAAATTTGTATATATGATTCTAACATTGTTCATACAGCATGTAACACTAGTTTTGATATGCTTTTATGAATATTGTCTACATGTTTGGGTGTGTCTAGCCCCTGGAGACTTTATTTTTACAAATAAAAGATTGATACTTTTATATTATTCAATTATTGTATGGTTTGGTACCTTAAAGTCCCAGTTCCCTGTCTTTTCCCATTTTTGGTTTCACTATTATAAGTAGAGCAAAATTTTGTAGACAAAAGTGTCTCATTAATAACACCCTTTAGGGATATATTCTTTGTTTATGGAGAAAGGAGAAGTCCACTACACAATGACAAGACTTCACTTGTGCACTATAATGAAATGTTCATTTCTACATTGCCCAACAAGGTAAGGGGACCATTCACTAAATACCAATATATGGAGGCACTACACTGGCCACCTTACACAATGGATACTTCAGAAATGCTCTTGATTGCTGCACTTTGTAGGCTGTGCTGTACATTACTTACTTTTGACTACTGCACATGTAAACTGTTCTGTGCCTTATAATTTCCTAATTGTTGTTATTCTATACTACTTCAGTCAAGGCACCCTTTAAAATTCTGCACAATCTCAAGACACCCCATTTTAAAATGTAAAAAACTAAACCAATATTTTTCCATAATGCAGCAATATCCACACATGTAGGACACCCAACATTAGAGGTGAGTCTTATAAAGCAAACACACCTGTCAGGAATGGACTTGCCAATAATGGTGGGACTCACCTGCCTTGTGGGCTGCAGTACCAGGGCTGGCCAGCGGGTGCTCTCACCAATCAGAGACTCAACCCTGCAGTCAGCCAAGACACCTGAGGCTGATTGCAGGTGTATTTAATGGATGGCCAGACCTGCAGTCTGTGCCTTGGTGTGTGTTTTTCCATGGGCCCCTGTATCTTGTTACCTGCGTTTCTGTTCCTGTTCCTGTCTGATTTGTTGCCGACCCTGCCTGATTCGGACCTCTGCTGACTTCTCCTGTTTGATCCCTGGCTTGTGACCCCGACCATTCTCTGCCTGACCCCCTGTACCTACCTGCCCGTTAGTTGCTGTACCCGGTCTCGTGACCTGACTACTCTCTGCCTGCTCCTCCTGTTCCTACCTGCCCGATTGTTATTGACCCGGCTTGCCTGACTACGCTCGCACTGTATGTATTGTTTATCTGTGGGTGGTTTGGTTTGGTTCGTTTGCACTGTGTTATGTTTTAGTATTGCACTGCGTTTATGTATTGTTAGTATTAATAAATTATATTGTTTATAACATATCTGAAGCCTGCGTTCCCTGCGTCAGTTCACATACCTCTGGTCATACCCGGAGCCCTGACATTACACCAAGGCCAATCCTGACCAGAAGTGGCTGCACAGGGAAGCCATCTTGGCTTGTTGCTGGGAAGGATGGATCTCAATGAGGTTGTGTATTTGTCGCTGCTGGTTTTTGATGACAGAGAATATGCTTATCAGACTCTGAGGGAGTATACCCGGGATCAACTGCTAGAATGTATACGGATCGCTCATGTTCTAGTAGATCAGGGCACAGAGTTCTCTGAGGTGCAACCTTTGATTCAGGTTTGTGTAGAGTTGGCTTCATCTGGTACCCCTGAAAGCAGGAATGACTTTTTGCCACCATTTAGTGCAGACCAGGTAGAGTCCCTGGTTATTAGAGGATGATGTGGATTGCTTCTTGGAGCATTATGCTGCATGTTCACCACAGGTATTAAGAGATTGTATAAACGCAGTGCAGTCTTTGACCAGACAGGCTTTGTGTAAGCTCAGCTTTGTTCAACCCATACTGCAGACATGGTCAGACTTGTTGTACCCAGCCTCAGTCAGCTTGCAACGTCATTCCTCTGCTCAAGGCACTCTTCCTGCATCCCCGACAGCACCCCCAGTGATGGCCCAGTATACTCTGCTAACTACCACATACCAGTCCCCTGCTCCCACTCGCTGCACCTATCCTTTCTTTGGCCCTGTGGAGAGGTCCTCTGTGGCGGCTGCTCCCTCTCTGTTCCATCTTCCGCTCTTCTCTGTCCTCAGCTGCTGCTCCATTCGTTTGCAGACCTGCGTTTACTTGCAGTGCTCCAGTAGTTAAAACCAGAAAAAAGCAAAAATTCTTTCCAACCAGTACCATCCTGCCAGTATCCAAACCGGTGAGCCTGCCGTCTGAGAACCTGCCTTCCGTGGTTCAGCCTGGTGCCTCGGCACCCGCACTTCAGCCTGATGTCTCTACCCAGCCTGATGTCTCTACCCAGCCTGATGAACTGATCCAGCCTGATGATCCTATCATGCCTGATGACCCAGTGCCCGCTGTCATACTGGTAACCCGATGCCCGCTGTCGAGCCAGACGATCCAATGCCTGATGACACAGGGCCCGCTGTCATGCCTGGTGACCCGATGCCCGCTGTCGAGCCAGACGATCCAGCGCCAGATGACCCGGTGCCTGCTGTCGAACAGACGATCTGGTACCTGATGACCCGGTTCCCGCTGTCGTACCACTTGACTCAGAGCCCACTGTCATGCCTGGGGACTCGGTGCCCACTGCCTTGCCAGATGACGCGGTGCCCGCTGTCGAGCAAATGACCTGATGCCTGGTGACCCGATGCCCGCTGTCGAGCCAGACGATCCAATGCCTGATGACCCAGTGCCCGCTGTCATGCCTGGGTGACCCGATGCCCCGCTGTCGAGCCAGACGATCCAACGCCAGATGACCCGGTGCCCGCTGTCGATCCAGACGATCCGGGTACCTGATGACCCGGTGCCCGCTGTCATGCCTGGTGACCCGATGCCGCTGTCGAGCCAGACGATCCAATGCCTGATGACCCAGTGCCCGCTGTCGATCCAGACGATCCGGTACCTGATGACTCAGTGCCTGCTGTCATGCCTGGTGACCCGATGCCCGCTGTCGAGCCAGGCGATCCAACGCCAGGTGACCTGGTGCCCGCTGTCGATCCAGACAATCCAATGCCTGATGACGACACCAGTGCCCACTGCCTTTCCAGATGACGCGGTGCCCGCTGGCGAGCCAAATGACCTGATGCCTGGTGACCCAGTGCCCACTGTCAAACCTGGTGACCCGATGCCCGCTGTCGAGCCAGACAATCCAATGCCTGATGACCCAGTGCCCGCTGTCATGCCTGGTGACCGATGTCCGCTGTCGAGCCAGACGATCCAATGCCCGATGACCCAGTGCCCGCTGTCATGCCTGGTGACCCGATGCCCGCTGTCGAGCCAGACGATCCAGCACCAGATGACCCGGTGCCTGCTGTCGTGCCAATTGACTTGGTGCCCACTGTCGTGCCAATTGACTCGGTGCCCACTGTCGTGCCTGGTGACTCGGTGCCCACTGCCTTGCCAGATGACGCGGTGCCTGCTGGCGAGCCAAATGACCTGATGCCTGGTGACCCGATGCCCGCTGTCGAGCCAGACGATCCAATGTCTGACCCAGTGCCCGCAGTCATGCCAGTTGACTCGGAACCCACTGTCGTGCCTGGTGACTCGGTGCCCACTGACTTGCCAGATGAGGCGGTGCCCGCTGGCGAGCCAAATGACCTGATGCCTGGTGAACCGATACCTGCTGTCGTGCCTGATGACCCGGTGCCCGCCGCCCCTCCTGGGGGCCCTGTGCCTGCCGCCCCTCCTGGGGGCCCGGTGCCCGCCGCTCTGCCTGAGGGCCCGCCGCTCCGCCTGGGGGCCCGGCACCCGCCGCCCCCGCCTGGGGGCCCGGCGCCCGCCGCTCCTCCTGGGGGCCCTGTGCCTGTCGCTCCGCCTGGGGGCCCGGTGCCTGTCGCTCCGCCTGGGGGCCCGGTGCCTGTCGCTCCGCCTGGGGGCCCGGTGCCTGTCGCCCCGCCTGGGGGCCCGGTGCCTGCCGCCCCGCCTGGGGGCCCTGTGCCTGCTGCCCCGCCTGGGGGCCCTGTGCCTGCCGCTCCTCCTGGGGGCTCTGTGCCTCTGCCCGGAGTCCAGCCCGATGTGCCTCTGCCCAGAGTCCCAGCCCGATGTGCCGCTGCCCGGAGTCCAGCCCGATGTGCCGCTGCCCGGAGTCCAGCCCGATGTGCCGCTGCCCGGAGTCCAGCCCGATGTGCCAGTCTTTGATATCCCGCCAGTTACCAGACCCGGGCGGTGGAACATTTTGCCCAACTAGGACTGTCCTGAGGCCGCTCCTTGAGGGGGGGTACTGTCAGGAATGGACTTGCCAATAATGGTGGGACTCACCTGCCTTGTGGGCTGCAGTACCAGGGCTGGCCAGCGGGTGCTCTCACCAATCAGAGACTCAACCCTGTAGTCAGCCAAGACACCTGAGGCTGATTGCAGGTGTATTTAAGGGATGGCCAGACCTGCAGTCTGTGCCTTGGTGTGTGTTTTTCCATGGGCCCCTGTATCTTGTTACCTGCGTTTCTGTTCCTGTTCCTGTCTGATTTGTTGCCGACCCTGCCTGATCCGGACCTCTGCTGACTTCTCCTGTTTGATCCCTGGCTTGTGACCCCGACCATTCTCTGCCTGACCCCCTGTACCTACCTACCTGCCCGTTAGTTGCTGTACCCGGCTCGTGACCTGACTACTCTCTGCCTGCTCCTCCTGTTCCTACCTGCCCGATTGTTATTGACCCGGCTTGCCTGACTACGCTCGCACTGTATGTATTGTTATCTGTGGGTGGTTTGGTTTGGTTCGTTTGCACTGTGTTATGTTTTAGTATTGCACTGCGTTTATGTATTGTTAGTATTAATAAATTATATTGTTTATAACATATCTGAAGCCTGCGTTTCCCTGCGTCAGTTCACATACCTCTGGTCATACCCAGAGCCCTGACAACACCTTTGCACACTGGTCCCGACTAGTATTCCAATGTTTTTCTTCTCCCTTAGTGTCTCTCCCTCACTCAGCTAATGTGACCCCAGTGTGGAAAGAGAAGGGTGGATGCTGGCAGCTAGAAGGTTGTAATGGTGCACAATGAAAGCCTGTGGCTTTGTGTAAGTAAAAGGCAGGTTTGATCCACCTGCTGGCTTGTATACAATTTTTAGGCATTTTGCCATGGCACCCCTGAAGACACCTGAAGGGACCTCAGTGGAAAAAGTCTGCTATAAATGATATACTTATTGTTTAATGTCTCAACAGGTACACATTGCTAAGTAGCCAACAAATATTTTAATAAAATTCTTGTTTAAGGTAAGCTCAGGAAAATGTTAGCTCAAAGATTACGTGTATCTGTGGGACTGTAGTTTTTGGCAAACATTTGGAAGCATATTTTTTGTAAGTAGAAGGACTGTGATATAGCTAGCGAGCTCAGGTTCTACTTAAGGATGTCCCTTCAATGTTTCATTGTCAGATTTTTATTTTACACCTCTCATGGCCTCACCAGTTATGTTTTAGTTCACATGTATTTCACACAATGGAAAGTTTGTATACAAAAAAAACCCAAAAAAACACAATCTTATATTCTTGAAAGTGCAGGATATATAGAACCAAATATAGTTTAGTTGCTTTTGCATATACCTTTGTAGTTGTACAACAATTTTATTTACAGATATTAACAAATTTAAGTGAAAAGAATGGATTTAGTCTCTCTCCATCAGATTTAACCCTTTTTTTCATTGATAGCCAGTAACCATCCTTCTTCCTTGGGCCGTCTTCGTGAAGAGTTTGGTACAGGATTTGCCAATGCTGAGGCTTTAAAATAACTGCCACTTTCAAGAAATAGTCTTAGGACAGAGTTGTTTAGCTGTGTAACAGTACTGGGTTTCTGTGCAATATGAAGGATTCCTGGATGTCCAAATATGTCCATTTTATAAGAAAATACCTGGAAATTCTCCAAGAACTTTTGAGCTTTAATGTAATTGTCTGTCTAAATGTTCTCACTACTTAGTGGTGGCCTTCAACTTCCACAGATATCTGAAAGCTGTACCAGTTTCTTGCTAGTTAAATGCACACATAGACTTTACTGTGAGCTCGTGCCAAAGGCACGGGGGAGTACAATAGTATTGAATATAGGCAGTCCATGCCATTTGCTTGCTTACCTTTACAATTTTAGTGCCTTTCACTATATACAATGTAGATGTTCAGTGCAGATCTCAAATTCTAATATCTCCAGGAGATTGTCCCTGATGAATAATTTCTGTGTCTTTTGCTGCATATTTGGAAAGCCTCTCCTACCCATTGGTGGACCTTGTGGGGTTAGACCAGGCGTGTGAAGCAGTGATAACAAAAAGAAGATAAAATGGCTGGTCATCTGGCTTGACTGCCAAGAACAATGCAGCAAATTCAGTAAAAGTATGCTGTATAAAAAATAAAATTTCCATGTTAGCCCTTCCCACCACCGCCTCCCAGCCTTTTTAAGAAGTTCTAAATGCCAGGAGGTGGAGGCGGGCATTCCGATCATGTGACTGTGCTGGGAGTGCACAGGAAGCGCGCTCTCGACACAAAAATTTTTACATAGGGGCCCATACTGCATATGCGGCCTCTCCTCTCAGTGTTAACGCTTACCCACCAAAAAGGCCACCTATATGTGTGCAGTGGCAGGAACAGATTAATAACAGCAGCATATATGACAAAGTGATGAATTTGCAGTCACAAACCCATGCTCTGGATCAAAACAGATGCTTGCTTAATATCATTCAGTCCTAGTCACCTAGAATGTTTCAAATGAAAAAGCGATCAGATTCTACAATCTTTTATGGGAGCAATGGATGTAAATATAGGAGTCAACTTATCACCTCAATTAGCCAGAAAAAGTCTCTTCTGTGGCCCCTCTCTGATTTTAATTTTACTTTATTTCTTCTGGGTCCTGACTTCTTGTCTAAGCCCTGCCAACTGCCCTGCCCAATGAGACTTATTCACTGTCCGGTAGGGCAGTACTCTTATTGGATAGTAGAATGGCAGCTGATAGGGCTTAGCAATGTAATGAGTGAAAGTAAGGTCCCTGGTAACTAAGTAAAAACTGCACCAGAGAGGAACACAGAAAGGGATTTTGTGTAGAAAGATAGAAAGAATTAGCTGACTAGCAAAGGAGTGAACATAACTCGGGCATATTTTCCTGTTCTACATTTAGGCAGCAGTTTTTTCATTTGTTATTACTTCCTTTTTTATATTATAATGATTCCACTTTAAGGCGGCAACTCTGGAGCAACATAAAAAAAAAAAAAAAAAAAAAAATAAAAAATAAAATAAAATAGTGTAGGATAAACATTATATGATTTTGTCCTGTTATAGCATATAACACAGCAGTTTATTGATTTTCTAAGACCCCTCTGTAACAAAAGTTGTATTTCCCGTTGATTGCATCAGTTATACAAGTGGGTAAAATAAGCATTGAACCATCACCATATTTCTCGGTTAATTTTTAAAAGGCTATTGAATGAAATTTTCTCCAAATGTCGTAACCACCCCCCCAATACATACAACAAAAAACCAAAACAAATAAGTTTTAGGATTGTTTGAGTAATAAAAAGGAATGAATGGGGAAAATACTGAAAACCCTTAAAAAAGGGAGGGCAAAAGGCATGGAAAGCCAAGACACCCCTGAAATCTATCAAAAAACA